TGTAAACCCAAATCATTTAGCCTGCACCACTGTTTCACTCGTTCCACAAGTATTTTAGTGTGGTGTACCGTGTTACCTGTGTTTTTTGAGCAGGCTGCAAAGAATGTGTTCCTGGAGGAGAAACTACAAGTGTTACAACAGCAGAATGAGGACCTGAAGGAACAAATAGACAAGAATCTCGCTGTGTCCAGGTCAGAGAAAATCCATACATGTGCTGATTAAAGTTCCAACCATGAGATGTAACTGTGCTTGGTGCTTTCTTGTCTTAGAAGTGTTGCAGTTTTCATCTATGTTATACAGAATATTTTTGTTTATAGAGGTCAGTTAATCCATCCATCCATCCATTCTCATCCACTTATCCTTTTCAAGGTCGCAGGGGGGCTGTAGCCTATCCCAGCGGTGTTAGGGCGAGAGGCAGGATACACCTTGGACAGGTCGTCAGTCTGTCGCAGGGCTAACACATAGACACAGACAACCATTCACACCTATGGGCAATTTAGAGTTTCCAATTAACCTATCCCCACTAACTGCATGTCTTCTGACTGTAGGAGGAAGCAGGAGTACCCAGAGAGAACCCATGCGAACACGGAGAAAACATGCAAACTCTACACATAATTAATGTTTAGAAACATTTACAATAATGAAACCCATAATTCTGAATGCAGAAATTCAATACTTTATAGAACCACCACTGGTAACTTGGAATAATTGTTTTGTGCATAATATTATCAGTCTCTTGCATCATTTAGATAATAACAGCACACAGTGTTAACACTGGGTGATCCTATCTTAAGAGAGCATAAACGAATGCTGGTAAAGCTCAGTAAACTGATGCAACAGAAAAGGGATAATTCATCTAAATGGTGTGATTTAGATGGGCCATTCCTTGACTGGATTCTGTGTTAACACTGAATCAAGCAGTGGCCCAACACTGGAACACCTTGACTCTTTTCTTTTTCAGCCATTCTGTTGCAGATTTGCTGCTGTGCTTGGGATCATTGTCCTGTTGCCTGACTCAATTTTGATAAAGCTTGTTTGGCTGTCTGACAATAAGAAAAATAAGCAGATATCGTCACTCCACCACCGTCTTTGACACTTGATATGAGGCATTGATGCTATGCTGTTATCCTGTGTTTGGTTTTCATCAAACATGGTGCTGTGCATTATGACCAGAGGACATTGTTCCAGAAGTACTTTTGAAAAGTTTGTTCAGATGGATTTTTGCAAAGTTGAACTGTGCTGCCATACTTTTTTTTTTAGAGAAAAGGTTTTCTCCTGACAGTTGTTCCAAACAAGCCATACTTGTTCAGTCTTTTTCTCCTTGTGTTGTGATGAACTTTAACAGTTAACGTGCAAAAATCAGTAAGAAAAAAAAAACGTGACCACACACTTCTACCTTTTCCTTGTCACTTTAGGCAACTCTCTGAAGAGAAT